CAACTGCGTGGTCAGGATAATTATACATGTATAATACAACACAAATATTATATTCTATGAAGTTTAACTTCCACGTTAGGCAGGACATGGATCATTAGGAACCACCATCTTAGCTAAGACCTTGGTGAGATGCAAGGGAATGATTCTGCTTCTATGGGAGTTAAGGCATTGACTGAACTATTGTTAATAGGAACAAGAATTGGCCGAGATTACTCTGACTAGAGCATCATCTTATTCAAGAAAGAGAACATTTTTTTAAGTTGTGATCAATGCAGGTTGCTAGCAGAAGCCTAAATTTGTCATATGACAAGACAATGAAGAAATCCACAAATTAATTGGTTGCCATGTATTGTTGTCCATCGACACTGTGGGACAGGTCAGCTACAAATAAAGGACAATAGGCCAAAACCTGCTTTCTCCTTGATCCTGCAATGACATGGAGCTTGCATGGGGTGTTGCACAGAAATTTTGTCCACATACAGGGGGTGGTTTGCAAGATTTGGGCTCTGGTAGTTTTCCCCACGCTATGGGGAAGGGAGTCAGTTGTACCAATTTATAGGCATAAATGTTGTGCTCAGCTTTAGGCCTCTTTCCTAGATGGTCCAGCCACTACTATGGTCATGTAAAGAAGAATCCAGGCTTACTTCACTTTGAGAATGATTCTGCCAGAGAACACCATTTGCCCTGTTAGTAGCTTGCTCTCAACTGATCACTTTTAAAAGGCAATCCAGTGCAAGAGATATAGCAAAACAGCATATCAATAAATGCCCCTACGCTACAGGTATAATGCTGCAATTTCAAACAGATTAGGAAACTTTAGACCAAAACTGAAGACAAACGGTCAGTGGAAAGCAAAATCTCTAAACTACTTCTAAGGAACAACTTCTGTTTAACTTTTAAAATGGTGCCTAGCAATTAAGAATGCTAGAGCTGCACATTCAAAATAGCAGATTTTTCAAACAGTGGTTTTATTATTTATACTAACAAAAAAAAAAGTAGCTGAAGACTTATGATTTCTTGCAGGGTGGGTGGGGAGGGGGAAGAAGTTCTAAGCAAAACTAGCCTCATTCCTAAGGAGACCCCATTGGAAATCAAATGGACCATAGTCTTTAATGAAAGGGAACACTATTCAGAGCTCTTGTGGAAGAACAATAATGCTGTAAATACAGCTATCTTTATGCAAATCTCTATTCAAGAGAAAAGAAAACACAATAAAGATCCAGAAGGTAGCATTATTTGATGACATAATTGACTCAACATGTGGCAGAGATAAGAATGACAGAACAACCCCTATATGCATTTTAGAGGATTCATACCTATTGTGGGAAGTTAAATTAAAGGTTTCAGTTGAGAGATATTTACCAGAAGTGATGAAAAACAGAGGGGGACACAATGTTTTTCCACACACAATACTGGTATTTAACAGTGTAAGATGTCAATTACTTACGAAATCTGTCTTGCTTATCCCAACTGTTTGTCACTGAATGCTGCACAGCAAGGATGAAATTCACTCTCTCCTGCACGATGCCTAAGTAAATTATCGTTATATATACTGTACTGCCTAAAGACTTAAGTCACAATCAGGGCTTCATTACTTTAAGCATTGTATAAACACAATACCAAAGTAATGCTTGACCTCATGAGTTTATAATCTAATTTACATCAAGACCAAACAGCTAGGAGTAACCAATCCTGCAAAACACTGAAGAGCAGAAATGGCGCAGGGAAAAAAGTGCAGATTTTCCTGTGCAAGGTGGGAAGTGAAGGCTGCCATCACTGACAGAGTGGAGGTGTCTAGGGAGCATGAAGAACTTTCCATGCATCAAACACACAGACAGACAAGGAAGGAACTGCAGAACCTCAAAGCTGCTTAATTCATTGCCCTACGGAGGGCAACAAAAATGGTTAGGGGGTTGAGACACATGACTTCTGAGGAGAGGCTGAGGGAACTGGGCTTAGTCAGTCTGCAGAAGAGAAGACAGAGCAGGGATTTGATAACAGCCATCTACCTGAAGGGTTGTTCCAAAAAGGAAGGAGCTGGACTGTCCTCAGTGGTGGCAGATGACAAAACAAGGAGCAATGGTCTCAAGTTGCAGCAAGGGCCGCTTAGGCTGGATATTAAAAAAAACACCTCACCAGGGGGGTGGTGAAGCACTTGGAACAGGTTACCCAGAGAGGTGGTGAACTCTCCATCCTTGGAGGTTTTTAAAGCCTGGCTTGACAAAGCCTTGGTTAGAATGATCTAGTTGGAGATGGTCCTGGTTTGAACAGGGGTTGAACTAGATGACCTCCTGAGGTCCCTTCAAACCCTAGTTTTGTATGATTTTATGTTCATTCAGTCTCCTATGCCATGAGCACTCCCCTATGCCTATGGCACTCCAGCTGCCTTAGTGTAGTGTGAAGGAATGAGTTGGGGTAAGCATTCCAGTTTTTTTTTTGACAGTACAGGCATGGCCAGAGGGTCTCAATGGGACAACTGTGCACCACTGAAGTGAAATTCACTTCTGCAGAATTTGGTGTAGAATACAAGACAATGTAACAGTCCACCATGACAATACACTTCCTCTAAGTGCCCTGTCCAGTTGAGAAGAATTCATTTTTTGTGCTTTGGAGCCAAGATCTGACAAATATTACCTTATAAATGTTACAGAAAGAAACTGTTGAACAAAATTAAAGGGTATGTTAATTCATTTTTTATACATAAGAGGGCCTTTTCTATATAAATGCCTCTCTGGAGAATTTATTCTCAACCTGAGCAAGATAAAAGTCTGGTTTCACCGTAGGTTGCTAGATAAGAATGATGTTCATTCAAGAAACGTCTACGGATGGTTAATTGTACAGTCCTGGCCTTTACATTCTAGGACATATTGAATAGTTTCCTTCTCCCAATTTCAAAGGGTTACTTGAAGAGTAAGATTCTACTCAAGACAAAGAAGCTGGCAGAATCTATTTGGAAATATTTCCTCCAAACTTCCCATCTTTCTTTTCTCCAGCCATAGTTAAATGTTTATAACTTTGTCACAACACAAAACAAAGGAAATATTACCTCAAATCCTTTTACACCATCTCCCAGAGCTTCTACAATCCCAGAGCATTCAAATCCAGGGACAAGGGGCGTCTTGGGAGGATTGTCAATGTTCCCCTGCCGCACCATCAGATCAATAAAATTTAAACCGCTGTAAATACAAGAAAAATCAAGATATCAAAACACAAGTGTCAGCATGGAGGGTGAAGACTCATCCAGGAGGACAGGGGATATGGGGGACCTCACATCATGCAGCAAGTACTGCGGTTTTTCAATGCTGATGATGGGTAGCTGTGCAGCAGGTGCATAGGAGGAATGTCTTCTGTTTCTGAACGCAACAGATGAGCTTGACATCAACTCTGCACAGGCCATGCTAGAGGGAGAGATATTCCCACAGGGCTACAAGATTTGTGATTACACAGAGCCCCTATGCTCAGAGGCAGAGGAAGAGTCATTGCTACCGATTCATGCTAAAGGCCATTACCATCTAGGTCAGACTCGGATCCTGACCCATAAAAAATATTTTCCACTCTTGAAAAATACGTACATCTCTTTTAGTGTTAAGAAATAGGCAGCGATACAGACTGCTTCTGTGAAGAAGGACACATAGACTATGCAAGGTACATGAAGCAAGCTTAGTGTGGTACTTAACTCTTCATTAACTATACACAGTTGTAAGCGAGCTGACATACCAGTGGCTTATTTTAAAGCAATGACTGGAGATGGGCTTTTAGAAATGCAAAACACTTAGCTCTGAAGATTTTCTCCAATGACTTTGTAAATAAATCCCATTTTAGATTTAAAAAACCTCTAACACTTTAGACATTTTGGTCCAAATGCAACCTGATTTCACTTTACTCATGACGACACAGCTACATTAGAGGCAAGCATCTTCCCGATCATTTGTGGACAGCCTCTCTGCTACAGGCCTTCTTCGAAGGTCTTTGAAGTTTTATGTGACTGGCTGCTTAGAAGAGTGACTTATGGCCTCTTGGATTCTTAGTTTTGTGAAGATCTTGTTACTTTGTCTTTATGCATCATCTCATTTTAGGAAAACAACAACTACATTGTATTTGAATTCCAGCACCTATCCTGCTTGCCAAGTGTCCTGTTGTACAGATTCTGGACACAACAACCAGCACATACAACTTTGGAAACTTTTGTGCTCATAACTAGGTAGAATACACTACAACCCCAGTCAACTGTTTCAGACCATGTTTCCTTAATTATTGTTAACTGAAACAAATATATTCCACAAATTACTCACATGAGTGCTTCTCTACACACATATGCAACCAACAAATGTTCACAGGGATCAAGTTATTCACCTGCATAAGTGTTTAAAAGATCAGAGATGCACACAGACAGAACAGCCATGGCAAACAAAAAGGCAGAAGACATACAAAGCACGACCAAAACACAACAACATTCCCAGGGAGATGGACATCTTTGGGAAAATCCATCTAGTTTAACTATCTCAGGCAACTGTGGGTAAAATTTTAGATGGTGCCTTAATTCTGCCAGTTCACAGCTGCAGGCTTGGTTACAGGCCACACTGAGATAATGAGACTTTGAAAACTCAATCTGAAGGGAAAAGACACTAATCATTGCAATTTTTACAGTTTTGATTGGCAGAAAAGGGCTCCATGCCTCAGAGCTTAAAGAAACATATCAGAAATGTATCAAGGTAACATGAGAGAAACAATACAGAAGATATCATAAGTGTTGTTTAAAATGGTCCTGCTCAAGAAGTGGGAACAGCATGCACTAAGGTCATCATTAAAATTATTATTATAATAATTACACGCATTGTAGAAAAAATTTGTGAACAATGTTGGCTTCAACAGTGATCCTCATATGGCTCCTTTCCAAATTTCAAGCATTTCACGGAGTGTTAATTAGTCTTTCCTACATTCTCTTAAGCAGGTACCAAGGGTAGAGTTGTGATGTACCAGTTAACAGGAGTAAGGTAAGTGACACCAGGACAGACACAGGCTTGACGGTGGCTATGGCTAGCTGTTAATAAACTATGATTATACAAATGTACTCATGCTCTCTCTTTTGTGCACGTTTGCACTCATACATGCTTATGGAACTACGTAGCAGACTTTTTTTTTTTTTTTTGTTGAAAGGACACATTTTCCATTTTTACTCTGATGACATGATTCTAGCAATTCAATTCCTCTCTCTGCCTGGTGTTTTTTTTCTTAGTAAGAATAGCATCATTTAAGGGTTTCTCTCAAATATAATGACTATTAGTAGAAAAGAAGCCACGGCAGAGGGGAGGGGAATCAATTAAAATATTAATATGATACTAATTCATCCTGATCTAAGTTTTCTTCATTTTATTAGTAATCGAGACATAAAATCTGATTCTAACCCGGCTTTCTAGTTATTATAGCCACCTGCTAAATAGCTTCTCTCCCTCTTTTTTTTTTTTTCCGTCTTATATTGGACTTTTCCCCATAAAATTTTTATGCCTTTGATATTTATGCCCAAGTACTTTGCCTACATGTCATTCATCAAAAGGGCATATATAATACATGTGCACATATATCTGAACAGAATTTTACCCTTCAGGATTTTCAAATAAGACAAGGAATAAGTCATTTTAAATACGGATTTCATGACACCGTGTATATAATCCTCATTGACATCAACCAGGTAGCTGAGAATAAAGATGTATTCAGTGCTTAGAAACTGAATCAACTTGAAGGCCCAGAAGTTAACTGCTAATCTATTAGTTATCCCTGTGATCCCTGACCTCATGGAATCTCTTATCAAGGAGATATCTTATGCCTGCTCTAATTTGAAAGGGCTGGTTGGCTGCACTGCATGGAAAAAGAAAGCTTGCTACAGATGAAAGGACTCAAATTAATTTTCCCTGATGCGACAAGCTCCCGAGATTTCAAAGCTGTGGACGTCCTTTCCATCTGACGTGGGTATGTTTGCCAACGTTTGGACAATGGCAGAAAGGGCACACAAATATTATCATTTTTTAATCCATGAACAGTGCACTACCAACATTGTTATATAGTATTTATACAAACAAGCTCCCTCAGACTATGTTATGAAACACAAGAAAGACAGACTGCATTGCACAGATGGAAAAGGAGAAGTCAAGTTGCTTTAAAGGCAGAGTTTGGATTCATACTTCTTTGAAAGTGGGGAAACTATAAGTTTTTAGTGTTGGATAGCATCAAAAGATGTCTTGGGGTAGCAAGTTATAGGATGGAATCCAGCTGATTATGAATTGCAAGTAAAAAAAAAAGTGCCCATTATTAATTTCCCCCATGAATAAGTAGAACAATCTATTGGGTAAAAGATGTGAAGATGGATTTTTTAAATTAAAAATGACTTGAACAGAAAAGCCTGTTGAGATGTCTCAGAAGAGGCCTTGTTTTGGGATTAAGTAATATATAGGAATTAATAAGAAGGTGGATATTGTGATAGACATAATGGATCAGTGCACAATTTGGTGCATCTCCCAGTATACCTTTTGCTTTAAGCCCAAGCGTAGATGTAAAATGGCATCTGAAGAGGAAGGTACACAATAACTTAAAGAACTCATCTCCAGAGCCAAAGGATTAGTAGTGGCTTCTATAAAGAGCTATACTGGGAAAGAGCAGGGATTTTAGTAGGCCTGTAAATTAAGAGTTTGAATTCACACATGAAATCATCCCTTCCTTGACAGTCCCAGCAATGTGGGTAGGGTTTGCCCAGGATGTAATCAGGATGGAGGAAGCCTGTGTCAGTCTGAGGCTCCAGCACCATCTTCCTATTCCTGATAACATAGCTTCCCTGCACTCCTAAACATGGAAGTCAGTGGGTATATTATTATTATTTTTTAAAATCAGATCATCTTCACCACCAGACCTTGAAAGACAGTTAGTTCCTCCTTCCTCTGTCCCCATCCAATGCAGGGCTACTCATTCCACAAGACAAACTCATCCAGTCCCTGACCCTTCCACCAGCCAATGCCACCCAGCCCTGTGGACTGCCCTTCACCTTCCACTTTCGGATGGCACAGCCTGCCTTATGGATCTTACTCTCTTCACTGTAGCATGCATCAGGAATTACTCCAATGAAGTTCGTGGAGTTACAACTGTGCAAGCAAGGAGAGAATCTAGCCCTGTGTTCTCAAAATGCTTTCTCCATCTTTCCTTTGCCCACATTAATCTAAATTGGCTTCTTAAAACCTGTAATCTCCTACCTTGCCCTTTTAAGAACAGTTAATGCTTCCTTTTCATTTAGAGAAATCTAGGAAACATGAGCAAGGTGTACAGGGATATATTTAACACTATGTTCTATTCTGTTACCCATGGGATTGCTGTTATTTGCTTCCGATTTAGCAGACAGTGCTGTTCTACCAAACACCAGCAAAGTGAAGAGGGTCATTTCAACATCACTTCTCATGATGTGCATGTATAGAAGTACAAGCAAGAATAACTCTAATGGTGGAAATAAAAATACTGTGAAGTTATTCTAATTCTAAATTGGACTCTAAATTCAGTGGGGTTGCCCCTGCACAGTTCATTTCTGTCCTGAGCAGAGCGCTGGAGTTGATGACCCCCTTGTGGTCCCTTTCAGCCCCATTTCTTTATGATTTCAGATTTCTAATAGCTCAAACCTACTTCTTTACATATCCACCACAGGTCTGTTTTAGCTATTTGTGTGATCTCAAAAAACAGTGTCCACAGTAAGTGTTTTGTTCAACACAGACTTGACAAACAGGTAAATACAGCAGGGCTTAACTGCTCCATCTTTACCAATCAAGAAATGATTACAGGGAATATGCAAACGCTGTGACTCAGCTTGGACAATGACTGTCGTTCCATCTCTTAGTCACTGAATGAGGCTAACTCATCACAACCGAGATGCTTTCAATCAAATCATTGATATTTCAGGCCTTCAAAAAAATGATTCATCTGGCATAGTGCTAATAGGAACATGTCCTGCAATTCCCTTGTTCATAGTACTCCAATACCTGTATACTTCATTTAACTGTTTTGATTCCTATGCTGAGTAGAGAACAAGCTCATACTTGTGCCTCTTATTGGCATATATCAATTTTCTGCTTAATATTTAACAAAAGCCGGATGATTTGTTTGATTCTTCTTCCCCCCATCCCATTTATACCTGTATTATTTTCCAACACCCATCTTCGATTTCACATTAACTTAGCTAAGTTAATTAGTCAGAGTTGGCATGCAATGCTAGGGAGACTCACCCTAGATGTCCATCTACTTTGTCCAGTACAGCATGCCCATGATAACATACAAGTTGCACATACATTTTCCTTAGCCAGTCTCCCAACCTAGATCACACACCTACACCAGCAGCACCATTCATCCCCCTTCCTCTTCTCTATCAGCTCCAAACAAAACCACTAGTGGATATGATCTTTTCCCAAATACCCTTATCTCCAACCTCACTCAAGCTTTGCCATCTGATCCCATCACACTTTCAATACTCACTAGAGACAGACATTACACATAAACCAGTTTAAGCAATCAGAAATTAGTTTAAACCTGTAACAGAAGAGACATTCAGTGCACATAAACTGGTTTCAAAACAGTCGAAACTGGTTTGAGATAAACCTGGTTGAATGTAGTATCAGACTTAACTGATTGAGCTCAAACTGATTTATGCAGTCTGTCCCAGACCCCTTCCTGGTTCACCTGCCCACCCTGTGGAGGGGGAAGAGTTCCCCTCGGGGGCCAGGCAGCCTTGAACAGAGCCCCTCTCCCCACCCTGCAGCGGCAGAGGAGGAGCAGGGGAAAGAGTCCTCCTTCAGGGCCAGGCAGCCTTGCAGAACCCCCATCCCCATCCCACAGCAGCAAGGCAAGGAGGAGGGGGAAGAGCTCCGCCCCAGCACTTAACAGACCCCCCTTCCACACCCCACTGTGCTGGGGGAGAGGGGAAAGAGGGGGCAGAGTTCCCCTCTGAGGCCTGGCACCCCTGTGTGCTAGGATTGCTCCCAGCTGTCATGGAGCCACTGGGGTGCACAAAGCTCTCCCCCTCTTTCTCTTTGCCAGCCACGGCAGTCTGGCCACGCTCCCTCTTCTCCCACCCTCTGAACCATGCAGACCAAGGCTGGGGTTTAAACCCCTCCAGACCTGGCCACGCCCTCCTCCTCAGCTCAGCCCTGTAAAAGGGAAGGGTGGGCTGCTCTAGCACCCCTGGGATTCACAGGCATGTGTCTGCATTTCCAGAATGAAAAGGGAATGTCTACCCACTTGCAAACTGGTTCAATCTCTGCAGGATAGACTAACCTGCAAAAATTTAATCAATTCAGGCTCGCACTTTTTGAATGTCTATCCCTAGGCCAGAAGCTCAGGGCACATAAACCACTTTCAAAATAGCTGAAACTGGTTTAAGATAAACCTGGATGGATGGATGTAATATCAGACTTAACTGATTTAGGTTAAATCAGCTTATTGAACTTCTGTCCCAGATCCCCTCCAAATTCAAATTAACTCACAATCCCCCAGCATCCCATGATGCTTTGCACCCCCTCCACAACCCCCTCTCTTACTCGCAGGGTGGGTGGGCCAGCCTTGGCCCAAGCTATATGCTCCATCTCAACAGAGGCATGCTCTAGCGCCCCCCAGCTTCTGGCCTGGGCCACTGCAGGCATGTGGCAGCATTTCTGGAATCAAAAGTCTGTTCACTTGCTTATCAGGTCAATCTAATGCAGCTTAGTCTAATCTGCAACAACTGAATCGATTCAGCCTCAGGCTTTTTGACTGTCTGTACCAGTAAGGACTTCTATCCATTAACAGGCATTTGGCTGTAATAGGCCAAAAAGGCTTCCCCGACCCATGCATTCTGCAGTTTGAAGCCTGCTATAGTTTCAAAAAAAAATCTACATTCTGGGAGGAAATAAGCAGAAATTTTCTTGAGAGCCTCTACTGATGGAATAAACAGCAAGTGTACAACTCAAGTGATTTATCAGCGGTATACCAAAACCCGTTGAAGTCAACTACAGTTATACCAGGGCTGAGTATGATTGTTTTTCCAGCTGAAGTGTAAGCATTGTTATTTGTGACACACAGCAAATAGTCTGTCTTGATGTAGAGAGACTCTATGGTGACATGGGAAGTCCTTAAAATACAGGAGGAATTTTGAAGGGAGCAGATCCACATGCATGTAAAATTGCAAATCCTCGCTCCAAATATTTAATGATCGAAAAATACCCACGAAGAGACATTAAAGCCCTCTCCAATAGGGACCAAAGCCTTACAGAGAGAAAAAAAGCCACCAAGCAGGTTTTACTATATTCAACATTGTCCAACATGAATTACTTCATTTATTTCCCATAGTGTCCATAAGGGCACTTTTCAAAATAAGAGAGAAGGCAAAATTCTCTGCTCTGCAGCTACATCCACCACTCAGCTCACTGGATAGCAAACCTTTCTGTTCGGTGGTAAGAGTGCAGGTGTGTTGGAGGAAAAAACATTTTAGTCGGTAACAAACCAGCTGATTCTGACAGACCCAGTACGGAAAAGCAGAGTCGAACTAGCCAAGATGCACAATCAATGTCTCTGCTTTGCAAGCCTATCAAAATGCTGCAGTTGAGGAAGCAACACCTATTGGATACACTAAATAAAACAGCCTCGTTGCCATAAAACAGCATCACTTTCAATGCCGATCGTTTCTAAAATAAACACCTCAGCCTTCACTTTGACATTTATTTGCCACAAATGCCAGAGCAGTAGAAACCTGCAATCATCAGAACACGCCACTAACTCAGGCCATTCACACAGGCCGGGCTGCAATTCCCATAGATCCTGGGTAAAGTTATTCGGTGTCTGTCATGCAGAAAGTCACACTAGAGGAGTCCAATGAACCCTTCTGGCCCTGTCGTCTGTGAACCCAAAGGGAACCCTATGCACAGAGGCAGGCAGCCTTGGGCCTCCGCAAGTGACGGGGATGCTGCTTGGAGAGGAAAGCACCTGTTTGAAAAGACCAGGCTTGATGGGAAAGCTTGCAACAAGTTGCTAATCATCGTCTACTACTGGCGGATGGTGAAAGGGTCTTTCTCTGTGGGCAGCACTCATGCAAAAGCGTGAAGAAAATAGCACGAGCAGCGGGAAGTGATTCTGAGTGCTCTCAAGGCAAGCCGCGGCTGCTCAGCTCTCCTGGGTCCATTACAGAGATCCGCCCCCCCACAGCCACTTTGTGGAAAACAGGCCTGGTTTCTCCAGACCTGGCAAGCAACCCAAGATACCCCTGTGCCATCGTGTCAGCAGCAGCCAAGCCAGGGCTGCTCACCCCCTCATGCTCGCCACGCCTGAAGCAAGTGCACTAAGGTTTGCGGCTTCCCTCCACCCTCCCGTCATGCCCAAACAAGGTGGGCAAGTTCGGAGAGAGGCCCAGGAACCACAACGGGCTGCGGGAGGGTGTCTGGCAGCTGCCCTGCGGCAGGGCTCCTTCGGGAGGGGCGAGAAGACAGCATCAGGGATGGGGGGAATCAGTGCAACAACTGGGCGCTTCCCACTCGGAGGAGGAGGAGGAGGAAACCACAGGGCTCTCCACAGTTTGCATCACAGGGATGGGAGGGACCTCCAGAGGCATCCAGTCCTGCCCCTTGCTCATGGCAACACCATCCCCGCCAAGCCCTCCAAACCCCCAAGGATGGAGACTGCACCGCCTCTCTGGGCACCCCCAGCCCCTCCCCCGTCCTGGGGCTGAATCCAACCTCAGCCCTGCCCA